CTATTGACTTTGCTTCAAAATGCATGCAGAATCCAACCGCAACTCATCACCTCTACTCTACATCCTAAACTTGGTCATCACCAACTCTTGTCTGGACTAATGTGTCATCTCCTAATTGGTTTCCCTGCTTCCAATCATACCTCTACAGTCAGAATGATCCTTTGAAAATATAATGTGGATCTATCCATCTTTAGCTCATAATGACCTAATGGCTTCCTATGTCACTGTAAGTCTTTACTATGGCTTTCAAAGCCCTACACGGTTTGGACTGCCATGCTCTCTGATCTCAGCCACTCCTGCTCTCTGTCCTCCCACATTTGTACCAGCAATCACCTTCTTGCTGGTCCTCAGACATGCTGAGCACACATGGCTTAGGGAGTAGGGTGTGCTCTTCCAACTGCAGGACTCTTCTCTCAGATGGCAGCACAGCTCACTCCACCACCTCTGTAAAGCTCTGCTCACAGGTCACTGTCAGAAGGCCTGTCCACACAGCACCACCTCCTGCCCACTGCAATTCTCTGCGGAATTTTTCATCTTTATATTCCTTTTTATCACTGCCTATTATACCTTAACTTTTAAAAACTACTTATCTCCTCGCCATCCCTCCCACCAACACCACAACTATGTGCAGCATGAAAACCAGTTCTTTGTCTTAGTGGCTTATTTATCTTAGCCACAGTGCCTTAAACAGCACCTCACACACAGTAAGTACTCATTGTGTACTGAGTAAGTAGACGAACAAAATCGATCGTTGGAATTTGAGAACTAAGAGTCGTTTGCATGGCATTACTCTCACCCATGCTCACACTCTGTGGCTGTGGAATATGGAATATGTGGGAAAAGATGACATCCAGTGGGAAGAAACTGATACAGCAATTCTATCTTAACAGGCTTAAGAGCTCTAATTCAATTGAACAATCTGGTATCTCCAAATGAGGACTTATTTTGAAATTAATCCTATCCCAATCCCGTGACTCTCTCAAAATAAACTAAATCTGATTCTCTAAAAGCAGAAAGATATCATATAATTATGAATTCTAAGTGGAAACCATGTCTTCCCATTCTCATCAGTAGTTCCTCATCAATATTCCTGATGGAACACAATACAGGTAGAAAATCAGTCAACCTAATAATTGATCCTGAGACAAGTTTATAATTGTCATTTAAACAAATTCAGTTTCTGTTATTATGAGATCAAAGCCTAACTACTGAAGCACATTCTATTTTTAACTACATATACTAAAAATGGAATATCTTCTTTTTTCTCTTCCCTAACAGTTAATAGGATTCTATTTATCTATCCGAATACAAAATATTGATAGATGAAATTCACAAAGCCGACAATTTGCTAGAGCAGGATTTTCAGTGCATCTGTGGTGACGGATTCTTTATTCCCTTTACTTCTAACTATTCCTTCAGTTCACCCTTAATAAGATATTTAAATTCCAGGCATCTTTTGGTTGGCACTGATCTACACTGCCAATTGTAAATGATGAGAGAGGGACCAGCAAATGGCATAATGGTTACGTCACTGGACTCTCACGTAGTTGACCGTGGTTCGAGTCCTGGACCTGACAACTAAAACACAGGCTGGGTATGTGTGACTGCATGTCCAAAGTTCTGAGAGGAAAATGGAAGGGAAGGGATTGCCGTGTGGCCATCCCTTCTGGGGGGTGAGTTCTCAGTGAGTTCTCACTTTCTCTCTGTCTCTCAGGCGAGCATACATGCCCAATAGCAAAAAAAAATTCTAAAAAAAAAAAAAGGAAATGACAGGAGAATGACAAACCACTGAAGGGAAAGGAAGCTGTTACACCAGTTCTCTCCATGGGTCCCAGGACACCAGCCCCTACACCACCTTGGAAACATTCCTTGAGGAGATATACCTTTGGGGGTCAGACCCATGACACAGGCCTCTGGAGTGTGAAGGTCAGTAATAATGGGCTCTGATTATGCAATGAGTGTGGATCTAGGACAGGTTGGCAGGATGTTGGGGTATTGGCCATAAACTGTGCCCATAATCCGCCTTCCAGGTTCCTATCTAAGAATGCACAGCAGCCGAAGGGAAGCAATCATTATGTGAAGAAACAGACTGGGACTGGCGCAGAGGGTGAGCACGGCTCGGTAGGACACCTCACCATGGAGGAACGTCCAGACCCCCTGCCATGGTCAGGACCCTGTCTCGAGTTGTATCTCAGGCACTGTAGGCTTGTGCGGGTGCTCCAATTTCTTGGGCCCTTCCTTCCCATCTCAGGACCTTTCCTGCTCAGAGTGCTCTTAGTCATGCAGATGGTCAGCCTCCAGAGACCTTCGGACCTCCCTCACATCCCCTGTCCCTCCAGCCCACACTCTCGCTCTGATTCTTCGGAACAGTAATGCAGTTTCTGTGTTTATCTCTGGTCTCCTTACTGGGATGTGAGGTTCTCCAAAAGCTGGAACCCTGTAATCGTCGGACTTGCACTCACCTACCCCCCTTGTCTAATAGCACCTGCCATGTAGTAGGCACACAAATATTTAAGGGAATCAATGAATCAGTATCTTTTTTTTTGAATGATGGGAAGTTGCTAGTTAAAAATATGTACATTCTGGGAACCAGAAGGTTGGTGTGGTGGTTAAGGCACTGGACTTCCACATGGCCTATTGTAATTTGAGCCCCAGACATACTTGAAATTCAGGCATGTGTGCATGCATGCCTGAAATCCCAAGAAGAGAATGGAGAAAAAGAGATTGCAGCATGGATATATATATATATATATGTGTGTGTGTGTGTGTGTCAGAAAAGGTATGATGTATTTTTACATAGGAAAACACAGAAAAATATGTCACAACTTTTCTGACGTGTGTGTGTGTATAATGTTATATATCACAAATTCTGATGACCTATCCATTGTTTTAGCATCAAATGGTAACTATGTTTTAAATATATGGTAGTTGATGGGACCAACAGATAGTATAATGGTTACATCACTGGACTTGCATGTAGTCAATTTCGGTTCCAGTCCTGGACGGATGGCTTAGAGCTCAAGCTGGGCACATGTGCTTGTATGCGTGTGCATATGTGTCCAAGATCCTGAGAGAAGACTGGAGGAGAAGGGATTGCAGCGAAGTCATCTCCCCAGGAGGTGATTTCTTGCTTTCTGTCTCTCTCTCTGTCTCTGGTGTGTGTGCACATGCCCTGTAGCAAAAATTCCTCAAAAAAAAATAAACAAATAAAGATGTGGTAGTCAAGCACATTTGGGCAGCAAGAATAAACTACTGTGTGCCCAAGACTAATTACCACTTCCTCTCAATATTCACTGTTACCTCTTCCTTACACCTGGAGCCCTAAATCGTAGCTTTAAGAAAATTCTCAGTTAGATGCAGTTCTTCTAAGAAGCCAGCTCCTTTTCCCATCCTCTTCCTGCATCTGTATGAGGGTATAGTGCCTGGAAGTTGAAGGCCTTAGGAACATGAGGTTATGGATGAAGTATGGCAGAATGGCAAAAGAGAAGCTAGGTCCTCCAAGAGCCACTAAACAGTCTCCAGGTTATCTGTGTGGCAAGAAATAAACTCCTATCTCTTTAAGTCACAGAAGTTTGAGTAGTTTTTACTACACATAACTGAATTTAATTGTAATAGAAATTTCATGATTTATAGAATTGGTGTGATTTGATATTTAACTCAACTGTTGAAGAATGCTGGGAGTACGGTAAAGAAAGGAAACTACTAAGAAAATGAGACTTTTGGGTCAATTGGTCATTGAGGTGGCCGGATTCCACATGGCTGACTGTGCGGTTCAAATCCCAGACCCAGTGGCTTGAGACCACGCCAGGTGCATGTGTGTATACTCAAAATGGAAGAGAACCAACTGTGTGTGATCATGGCCATGGAGGGAGCTACTTTCTTACTTTCTCTTTCTCTGTCTCTTGACAGCAAGCCTAGGCACCACCTTCTGGCAAAAATTTTTAAAGAATGAAAAGAAAACAAGATTTTCCTTAAACATGTAATCATGGTTAATCATTATAGATTATCATTCAACTGATACTAAAATTATAGCTGTTGATGTATGATTATTCATATAATGTTTTAATGTTTTTACATTAAAAAATAGTTCCCGCTTCGAGTAAGTTTAGGAATCTCTGTGGGAGCTGAACTAAAAATACTATTGGGTTACTAAATTTGATAGAATGCCTTTGAAATAAACCTTGGTAAGGCAGAGATGACTCTTTACTTTTTTTTCTAAATTTGCTATAGGCTCGTGTGCTCACTGGAGACAGGGGGAGAAAGAGAGAAAGGGAAAGTGAGAAAGCACCTTCCGGGAGAGATGGCCATGCCACAATCCTTCTCCTTCATTCTTCCCTTAGGATTTTGGGCATGCACACATACATGCCTGCAATGTTTTCAAGCCACCAGGACTTGAACCATGGAGTCATCCATGTGGGATTCAGCCAGCTTAACCACCACACCACTGACTGGCATGACAATTATTTTTACATGGCTGTAACTTTGTGTGTCTTTTTAACTACTCAGAGTTCCCTGATAAAAGATACCATGTTGTTGTGCTCTTTGGATCCTTATACTGAGCACAGTTGTCAACATATTACAATAATATTGAATAATTCTTAAGTGTATACCCTGTTTGATAATGCTTTAAGCACTTTATCTGTATTTCCTTTCAGTTACTATTGTGGCAACACAGCCTTCTGAAGGTGGTATTCTTACTATTCCCACATTACAGAGGAGACTGAGGCACAAAGGTTAAGCCATTCTCCCAGTACATGCACAGAGAGAATGGCAAAACTGATAGGATTAAAAGCCAGGCATTCTCTCTCAGAGCCCTAGCTAAAACAGGCTAAGTGCCTGCTTATGTAGAACATAAATATTTGTTGATAAAACCATTGAAATAATAAACCCAGTGGCAATTTCTTTTAATTAATTATATAAAACTACGATCATATTATTCTTGGATGGTACAACAACTTTTTCCTGCATACATTTTAAAGCTGTTTATTTGACAACCTCACCTTTTTCTTTCTGTTCAGGTTCATCTGGTTTTCTATTGGTTTCTGAAAATTAAAAACAAAACAAGTTAAGTACTATGCAAGTCACCGTTCATATCTTAAAATACAGGACTATATTTAAATACATTCGGATAAATATAAGAAAGATATTTGTGGGTATACAATTCAATATTCCTACATCCTGCATTCTCTACACATAAAATTCATTATGAAATATCAAGATTTAGGCTGACTTGAATTATTTATAGTCACCAATCAGTGCCTAGGTATAAGGTACCAGGTGAAGTGCTCCTCACCGTAAGAGAACTGAAGTAGGTGATGTCCACTAACTCTGTCCATGGGCACAAAGGCAAACTGGGGTGAGATACAAGCTATCATCCAAGTGTGTTCAATATTTTAACCCAAAACCATAAGAGGACTTTGATAACAGCCACACATACACAAGTGATCCCCTGCGAGAGCCTGCACTGAAGTCCAGGTAAGCAGCCTTAGCTCACTTTTGGAGAAGCTGGAGATGAACCCCAAATCCCAGCCTTGGACTAAGTTAACCACTCTCCCACGAACAGGACTGCTGAGCACTGTGAAATCACTAAGAACTTGGGCCAAAGACCACCTTCACCACACATGTAAAACAGTAGTATATCAACTGACCATGTCTTTATAACCTCACTTTCTGCACCTGTAAGTCCATATCAGGCCACTGCTGAATATATATTAAAATGCAGTGCTTTTTTAAGGTAGACCAGTTGACTATAGTCCCAGGATGTTCTCACTTAGTTTTGGGGCATATTTAAGAACACATTATATGTTATTGTGGGAGACAGGTACCAAAAAATCATACACTTTGTCCCTTCCCACACTAGACAGGAGAGGTGGTGGGTGTGATTAGGAATCACGGTGTGATTAGGAATTATATAACTCGAGTGGTCCCCAAGTTTCTCACATTCATTCTTACAAAACATTTCATTTTGGAAAAGAAGGGAAAAAAAATCGCGGGCAGGCTTTGATGCAGGGAAGATCTTTTTATAGGTCAAGTGTTTTTTGCTCCTTTCAGACCCTAGAAAAGAGAAAGAAAAGGGAACTAACTTTGAAATACAGCATGCAGGCTTAGTGCTAAGCTCATTGCTTATGGATTTTGTCTCCTGACTCCCTGCTGGGAAGACGGTTTTACCTCCCTCTTTGTGCAAAGGAGGAAGTTGAGCCTGAGAAATTAGTGCCCAAAGCTATCAAGGCCAGCAACTTATGATTCCAAAGCATATATTCTTTCCACTGTACCACTCTGTACCTTTCTTGAAAGAGAAATGGGAAGATAAAGAAAGTGCATGTCTACTTTCACAAAGAGTCAGTTTTATAAAGGTGCACATAGCTCCTGGCAGTGCTGCAAAAAGTACACAGGCTTGTTTTTTTCTTTAAGGACTTATAAATCTCTACTGACTACTTTAGAACTTGGGATTAACTATAACTTCCTTATCATAAAGTAAAGCTACACAGCTGAATTACGCCATTCAATATCACCCACTGTAAATATTTACTGAGCACAAAACATCTGCCTGGCCCTTCATACTAACAGGGGGGAAGAAAAAAGCACCAACAATCTCCATTCTGAAGAAGCAGCTCTTCAGGTGCCTCCAGAAAGACCAGATTCCACATCCTTCAGTGATCATACATGGCTAATGTGATTTGGAAAACCAAGCACAAAATGCATATTTTTTAACATGACTAAATAGAAGAGTTGGTCATGTTAAAGAGAGTTGGTCATGATAAGAAGCTTAAGGGTCTCCACAGAACTTCCTACCTCTTGGGGAACAGTAAGGAAAGAGGAGTGGCTTGAACTGGTCACATTCCAAATCGAAGTGGAAGGTGTTAACTGTGTGCCTTTCTCACTATTCAGAGCTCGCCGATAAGAGATACCATGGTATGGTGATCCTCGGACCCTTATACCTAGCACAAGTGTCAACATATTAACTATATAAAATATTTAATAATTCTAAGCACACACCCTGTGTGATATTGCTTTATTGTCATAATGTAACCCAGTATGTGTGTGGGGGGGTCCTGACCAGGTCTGCCCATGTCCTCTGGACTCACTTCTTCCCAGGAACCTGGACACTGAATGTGGTTGAATATGCTCCCAGAAACATGGGCCTCTATCCACCCTACTCCCAAGTACCCAGGCTGGGGTGACAAACCTGACCTAAGAAGACCTAGCCTAGCCCATTCCAGGCCCCATGGCAAAAGCTTTCTCATGTTCTCATTCTTACACCCACTTTTGTCCTCACTGGGGACTTGTGTCCTGTTCCTTTATATAAACCAGTTATATGGTTTATATGAACTCTGAAACCATGTTTCAATGTGGAAAAAATACGTAAGGTAGGCATGTTGCCTCTTGGGTTTTAGTGATTAAATTTAACCTAGGTGAATGTTTTCTTGGAGAGGTTTTTGTTTTGTTTTGTTTTGTTTTTGCACAGGGTGCATGCGCTCACCAGAAAGAGAGAGACAGAGAGACAGAAAGCGAGAAATCAGCCCCCAGGGGGGATGGTCACACCACAATCCCTTCTCCTCCATTCTCCTCTCGGGATCTTGGTCATGCATGCACACGCGCCTGGTGGGAGTTTAAGCTGCTGGGTCTGGGATTCGAACTGTGGTCAACTACATGGGAGTCCAATGACATAGCCATTACGCCAACTATTGATCCCTTAGGTGAATGTTTTCTATGAGACTCAGCATACCTAATGGCATTCCACACAGCTAATAAAAAAGTGTTACTTTGCTTCACTTTATTTCTGGTCACTATGCTTCTCTGGGAGATCTTATACGGACCTTGCTGTGCCAAAGAGGAAAATGACCCAGTGAGGACTTACTACACGCCAGGCATTATTCTGAGCACTTAATGCAGATTATCCCATTTAGCTTTCTCAACAGCCAACTATAATTTTATAAATAAAAAAACTAAGATGTACTGAGGCTAAAGAATCTTGCCCAGAGTCAGAGAACAAATAAAACTGGTTGCAGAGGCTGCAGTCCACAATACACCTTTAATCACACTCTGTATATCTCACTAATGGCAGTCCATTAATTAAACAGGAGCTATATGCTCAGCTACCCTTGAAAATGACAAAAGTAGAAGGTCACTTGTAACTCATGTTTAGTGTTTAAATACTCATATCAAAAAAGATGTTACATATTCTCCATCTGCACTCACGTTCTCTTTTCCTTTTCAATATTAATTTATCACAACAAGGAAAGCCTTACTGAAAGAATGGAATCATTATCTTTTAAAAATTGTCAGGCAACCACTGAAAAACAAATCACTTTTGTGGATTCAGATGTATTATGTGTTCCAACCTGTCTCCTGAGCGGTTCTTACCTGAGCCAGTAGACGATAAACCTAATTTCTACCAGGCCCATACATCCTTCCAAGTGCTGCAGTAGCAGCTGTAAAACTCCCCAAGACCAAGACTGAGATAGTGCTTCTCTCTGAGGGCCCACAGTGCTCCATTTTTAAAGTTACCTCTTTCCTGCCTTCTTCACTATCTATCTAGGCACATCCCAGCTCTGCCTTGGCACCAGCACCCAGTTCTAGTTCCCTAGCTGGCCTGTGTGTGCTCCCTCCAGTCCCACCTTCCACCTGTTGCCCCCATGCTCAATCTGAATGCTGGTGTGCTCCCACAGGCTTGAAGGTCTCTCCACTTCTGCTGACCTTCAGTTTACTCATCTGCAAGCAGATAGCACTCATCTGCAGAGAAAACTCAACTCCGTAACACTTCTGAAGTACATGACAGGGTAAGTACATCAATAAACAGTGGGTCTGGGTAACTTGAAAGTTCTTGTTTTTATTATTACTGCTGGAAATGTTAGAGGTAAAAACAACCTTTTCTAGAACCCTAGACCTTCTTCCTTGCCTTGTGCTTTTCATGTCCAGAGACTGAACTTTTGAAATGGGAGAAAAAGACCTGCTATACCTTTTCTGCTCTTCTATGTACTTAAATGTCTTAATCTATCTCAACCAGGATGAAGTTACTATCTTCACAGTATGACAGTCACAGAAGATCAAAAGGAAGTGGGAGGCTTACCGGGAAATAATCAAAAAATTTCTTGATGCAGGACAAAATCCTACAAAGCATGAATGTAGGGACTATTTCATTTTAGTCCCTTTTCCCTTGGTAGTATAGCTTAATGCTAAATATTAAAGTAAGTAAGCATTACCTATTAGAACTTTTTTAAAGGAGGAGGCTTAAGGAATTCTTTTGTGATAATCTTTTGTAAAAATGCTATAGTCTTTTAAAATACCAGTGAGTATAAAATGGACTGATTTTTGATATGTAACAAAATTAAAGTTAATACACTCCAAAATAACAACAATCTAGAGAAGAATTCTGCATTTTATTGCACTCAAATGACATTAAATGGAAGACATTTACATTATTTTTTTAAAAAATCCATTGATGTTGCCCGACTTGGCAAGTATTTGTCAGGACAAGGCTCATTAATTCAGATATTTGGAATTAAAAAGTACATGAAGTTTACCACAGCATTAATCCTCGATTTCCAGAATCCTACAGATGATTATATACAAAAACACAGTAAAACTTATTTTATTCATTCATCAGTTCTATGTCACTCCTAAGTTTCCCTAAAAAAATACAGCTTTATAAAAAGTAGTATGCACAAAATGAAGAGCTTTATTATCATTTAATATTAACTCTGTGTCATCCATTCCTCAGCTTTAGAAAATTATTGCTTTCCTTACTAACTTATTATTTTATTTTACTATACATTGAGTTAGCAGACAGAACTCAATCAATGTAATGATAAAAATATAAAATCTCTTTGATTTTCAACCTAAAAGCAGGGGAAAAAAGGTCACCTTATCTTAAAATGATGTTAGCATAATCTAGGGCAAACCCTGACACATAAGAGAAACCATTTCTTCTTGGCTTTTTTTTTAGAGCTCATGATTCTCTCAAAATGATATAGTTACCTTCTTTTCTAATAAAGGACAATTTTTATGATAGCAACTATTTCTCAGCCCAAAATAAAACACA